GAGCTGTAGCAATTAATTCAAAGATTAATACCACCAAGGGGAGTAATTCGTCGGAACGCACATTCTAACATTTACTGGTTGTGCACGTACAAATATGAGTTTGTATATTCGACTTAAGATTTGTGGTAAATTCGTATGTGTGAAGTTATAAATTCTTCCCAGGCCACGTTATTAATAACAAAAAGTTGAGGAAAACGTTACTAAATAGGGTGAAAGGAAAGTTTGTGATATTTCCAGTGTTGAGCAAATTTATAAATAAATTCCAAGAGTTTGAAGGAAACACTGCAATAATCCGTAAACACTTAACTTTGCACTAATTTAAGAACTTTAACCACATAACTTGTTAAATATAACTTGGCGGCCTGATATGATATCTACCCAATTTTCAATTTTCTCGTTTAAAATTAAACTTCATTTCACTCTAACATGATCTCAATGTTAGCACCTGTTTGCTGAGGCCTCCTCGTCTTACCCAACGTTAGTTTCATTATTAACAAAAGATTTTCAGCGGGTGAGGTCTGGACTTTGGGTTGAACCTAAGTGTGCTCTGCCCAATCCACAAAGAGGCGATCATACAGTCTGCACCAACTACCGTGGGATAAGCCTCCTTAATATCGCCTATAAAGTCCTGTCGAGCGTATTGTGTGAAAGACTAAAGCCCGCTGCCAACAAACTGATTGGAGTTTGTCAGTATGGTTTCAGATCCGGTAAATCAAGCATTGACCAGATATTCACCATGCGTCAAATCTTGGAAAAGACTCGTGAAAAGAAAATCGACACACACCATTTCTTCGTCGATTTTAAAGCAGCCCTCTACGTCACTACGTGTATATCTGACTTTGGTATCACCGCGAAACTTATACGGCTGTATAAACAGACTTTAAATAACACTAAAAGCTCCGTCAGAACCGGGAAGGACCTTCCCGAGCCGTTCGATACCAAACGAGGTTTCAGGCAAGATGACTCTTTACCGTGTGACTTTTTCAACCTGTCGCTAGAGAAAATAATACGAACAGCAGAGTTAAATAGAGTAGATACAATTATCTATAAGAGTGTACAATTATGGGCGTACCCCGGTGATTTTGACATTATCGGCCTCAAAAACCGCGCCGTTGGTTCAGCTTTCTCCAGATTTGATAAAGAAACGAAGCGAATGGGTCTGGTAGTGAATGAGGGCAAGACGAAATATATGCTGTCATCAAACAAACAGTCATCGCTCTTGCGGCTCTCATGTCACTGGTGACAGTCATAACTTCGAGGTCGTAGATAATTTCGTCTATCTAGGGACCAGAAATAACACCAATAATAATGTCAGCCTTGAAATCAAACGCAGAATCACTCTTGCCAGCAGGTGCTATTTTGGACTGAGTAGGCAATTGAAAAGTAAACTTCTCACTCGGCGAACGAAAACCAAACTCTACAAGTCGCTCACCATACCATTATGGTCCTTTGCGCATTGGCAACGGCGAATACCGTAAACGATGGAACAATGAGCCGTGCGAGTTATACGATGAATTGATACAGCGGCTACGCGTCGTCCTAATAGATGAAAGTATTCGATGCCGTACCCTCTGGTGGAAGCAGAGGAAGTGGAAGACATATACTTTGTTGGAAGGATCAGGTGCAGAGTGCCTTGGCTTCACATGGTATTTCAAACTGGCGGAAATAAGAGAGGAATGGAGGTCTAAGATTGATTCGGTTATATGTAATTGCGTAAACGGTGCCAACGCCAGTAAAGAATAAGAAGAAATTACGACATGAAATAAAGGCTCCTCATAAAAAACCATCATGGAACCGGAGGCAGCGTAATCTTATCTGATATGCTAATGGAAATTTATAAGTTAATTAGCATTCTATTAAATGGTACATACGAAAATTTTACTGGTATTTAGGGACGGCAGTAACTAATTTTTGGTTGCTATATCGTAGCCACCGCAAAATTATTCAGCTGTACGCGAAGCATATGCCGCTGATAAAGTTCCAAATGGAAGTAGCAAATTAGCTTCAGAGTGTTTTATAATCAAGCATCTTTGCTCCGAAAAAAATAGGACGTCCTACTGCAGTTTGTATACAAAACATAGAATATTTAGCCCCGTTATTCCCTTCAAGTGATTTTAGAATCTGTAAGAGATGCAAGTTTGTAAATTGACATTTGCCGTTTGTTGCGGAAATAAATGTTAAATATTCGTTCGGTTTTTTTTAAATTTATTTTTCAAATTATGATAACTTTGCGTACATCTGTCCGATTTAAGTCGTTTTTTCATAAAATTGTGCATCTCGTTGCCAACTTCATTATACCCCTCTCGTAGAAGGCTGCGTCCCTATTGGCAAAAAACTCAGAGTGCCAATTTTCGCAGGCCTCTCTTGAGGCCAACTTCTCACCACTAAGCGCATTCGCCACGGACTGGAAAAGATAGTAGTCACTTGGTGCCAGGTCCGGACTATAAGGTAGGTGCATTAGGACCTAGCATCCGAGCTCCTGGAGCTTCTGGCGAGTCACCAAAGGTGTATGTGGCCCTGCGTCATCCTGATGGAACACAATTCTGCCTCTTTTGATCAAAGATGACCTCTTCTGGATGAGTGCTGCCTTCAAGCAGTCCATTTGTTGAAACAACATGGTTGAATTGGAACCTAGCAAACCACTTTTGAGCTACACGTTCGTTTGGGTCCATAAACTAAATTAATTTTTTCAGTAAAATTTAGCAAATTCTCTCTTTGCTGGTGTCCAACTTTAACGAGCGCTCACAAAGTACTGAGTTAATCAATCCAAGAATTGTCGAATACAAATTTTTATCACGAATAAATGCGTTTTCAGCGCCGTATAGTATGACATAATGCGGCACGTAACACTAGTACTATGGGCAATAACGTCATCTCTTAGATAAAAACCAAACTACGATCTTTTTACTTGACCTAATATTATATATCATGTCACCGTAAAATATACCCTCAATTGCCCAAAGTTGCTTGGCAGCAACTTCTAATATCTCGTTACCGAAAGGTGACATACCTTGCAACCCTCCAAGTCTACACGTATTAATTAGGATCATTTTAGCACAAATGTAGCAAAAAATAATTTTCGTAAGCTGTCGTCTGTGTGTGGACTCGAAAGTGTTAATATTGTTTTCTTATGACCATCACCACCATTTGATTCTAAACAATCCTAAAAGCATAAAATTAGCTTAATTCTGAATCCAATTAAAACCACTCATACCACTTGACATGAAAGTGTTCAACTTCTTCGTTTTGCTCTCGCTGTACTTAATCCCTGTCATTTGATCTTTAAAATTCTAATTGTTTTTCGAAAATTTAAGCAGTCTTTGCTGTTTATTTATGATATCATTAATGGCTTTTGCGTTCCCATTCTCTGATTAAAGATAGTTAATACAATATGATCATACTTGCTTAGCACTTCGAATTTTGTAGAATATCGAGGAGCCGTGATCTATATTACGCATTCCCAGAAAGCTCGTTTATGTTCTTGAATATTTCTGTTCATAATTCTTATATAAATACGAGGGAACTAACAAAAGTTTGGCCAGTTGGTGACTTTCAATTTGTTTTTGTTAAATCCAAAGATATCAAATTAAAATTACTTTATTAGTCTTCCCTTCAAATTTTAGAACGATCGGCTAAAATGAATACGAGAAAACGCAAGATAGTAAATAATAATGAGGAAAGGTCAGACGAAATTCCAACACCAATGCGAACAGAAATTCACAATATTACGGCGTTCGGCGTAATTTACAGCCAATTAAAATATTCATTGAATGCCAAATTGCATTTTGAACGATTTTACAGTTTTTAAAGATTATTTGTAAGTAGTTCCGAAGGCTGATGACGTCATTGGAGCGCTGGTGAAGTCCAAAACTGACGAAGACTCACGATTGACACAAGAAATGATTACTATGGAATTGGGCTTGAATTTCATGACTGTACCGCGAATATGAAGTAATTATCTGAGACACACGAAGAAATCTGGTCAATGGCTACCATGAATTTTAAATGAGACGCTCGAGTGCATTTTACTCAATTTTTGCTAAACAAATTCGAAAATAGTCCGCTTACTTTAGTAAAATCATTACTGGTTCTATATGTACGATGCAGAAACCAAACAGCAGTCCGTGGTGTGGAGCCCAACAGGAGCAAACCCATCTGTAAAATTTAAGCAACAAAAATCAGCAGCAAAAGTAATCAGTTTACTTCACCCGATATAAAATCTGAGCTGCTATTCCACTGAAAAAAGGGTCATGAGGTAAATGCAAAATGATGCACGGAAGAGTGCTTGCCTAATGTTTTGAAAAATTTGTTAGAAAACAGGGAGTTTTTACCTCATGATAACACGCCATCCCCCACTGCTGTAATAACGAGTAATTTTATTGCCATCTCTGGGATCAAAAAAAACATCCAGTGCCATATTACCCCGGATATAGCACGTTGTGATCCTTGGTCATTTCCAAAAATTAAAATAAAATTTAAAACGAGATGTCTTTAATAGCAACGAGAAGGTAATTAATGTTGCTAAAGCAAGACTATTCCAGAAGTTGATCTGTTGTAGAGAAGATAAAAGAGTACAAAGATTATGAATAAATACTTACTCAACTTACCGAACTTTTATGAATCCCCTCGTATGTATATATAAAAATTTTAATATTTGCTAAAGACTGAATAAATAATTAAATCTTTGGTTTAAATTAGTAAGATGGTCTGGAAGAATATGTAAACATGATGTCATCTATAAATGAATATTTTGATTGGACGAAAATCAGCACTGTAATCTTTGCCCACCACTTTACGTTTATACCAGGTTATAGTTAAGATCTTGAGGAGTACGCAAAATTTATTGAAATTATTAATTATTCTAATAAACGGTTTAGTTAAAAAAAATTTTGAAGGAGTTTTTTTTTAAAGAATTCATTTTTTCATGGAACAATTCAAAATTAATAATAAGCAATAGCTCATATGCATATTAATATTGAATAATTTCTTATTCATTTCAGACCATCCATCAGCGGCTGCGAGATCGGAGCTCTCTCGTGAGTCACAATTACTCACAGCCACAACAGCTTTTGTACTCATCACCGCAATCAACGGCTTTTTGAAATCTACAATAGAAGCAATTATTCAAGCAGCTAAAGGAAGTCACTTGCAGGCAGCAAGTGAAAAAGTAGAAAATGCCACCGAAAACAAAATTATTTTACAACACTGTCAGATAAATGCAAATGGGGGTGAACTTAATAAAGAATATGCAGAGCAAATTGAATTGTTATTCACGAGTGGGGCGCATAAAACGCGGTGATAAGTTGTAGCGACGAAATAAGCTTATATATAAAATAATTTGAATTAAAAATATTCATAATGATGATATAAGTGTAAATTTAAGTTTAACAAAAGAAAAAAAACGTTTAAGCAAGCAAATCATTAAAATTATCAACATATACGAGTACACACAAATTTATGAAAATAAGGATCACTTATACTACATACATTTATAAATTGGACGAATAAATGAAAGAGGAAATTCGGATCGATTTTTGTGCAAAGTAAAAAGGAAAGTGGCTACGAGTATGTGTTTTACTGCACCGTAATGATTAATTAGTTGATATAATAACAAAGTCAATCTCTATGATTACACGCAAAATAGTCTAACTATTTCAAATATATTCTACGAATTTTTTCACAGAAACAATTTTTTTTACATGTATGTCACACTATGGAACCGGTCAGATGAAATCATTAGTTATTCCAATTGGGTATTTTCCTTCAAAAGTTTATTTGATTAATTAACTAAATGGAATAAGATTCCCTTTAACCATATCAACTTTACAATGAAAACGATTACTACCGGTTTGCTTCACATTCTATTTCCCATATAAAGATAGTTATAAAGCTTTCGGCATACCTGAAGGTATATTTTTCTTGTTATACATAAACATATATATGTATATAAAGAGAATATTAGATTTATTCTTCCTCTTCATCTTTACTGGCGTGAGCACCATTTACGCCATTATAACGGAGTTGATAAGATTGTGCCAATCATGCTTCCTTTTGCAGCTTAACGCGAATTAAAAATACCAATTACAACCAGGTACTTCTCTACCTGTGTTTTCCTCTTCTTCTGCTTCCACCGGCGGATACTGCTTTGAAAACTGTTTGCAGTTTTCTGATTCGCTGAACTAATTGAATTGTTATTCACGAGTAGGGCGTATTTTTCGAAAGCCACTAAAGCCGATTCATCAGTTGCCCATGCTTCGACACCATATAGCAGGACGGCAACGATGAACAACTTGAAGAGTTTTTTTTTCGTTCCTCGGGAGAGGACTTTACTTTTCAATTGGCTGTTCAGTTCAAAGCTGCATCTATTGGTATTATGCGTTGGATTTCCAAGCCGACATTGTTGTTGGTCCTAATACTAGTTTCAAGATAGATGAAGTTATCTACGCCTTCCAAATTATGATTGTCAGCAGTGACGTGGGATCCGAGTCGAGCATCCGATTTGGTTGATGACAGAACATTTTACGTCTTGTCTTCGTTCACTATCAAACCTATAGACTATATTTCTTTATCTGGTCTGTAAAAGCAGAACTTATAGCGCGGTTGTTGAGGCCAATAATGTCAATATCATCGGCGTATCCCATCAGCTCTACATTCATAGGTCTTTTCAACTAATGGTTAAATGTGAAGCCATGAAATAATGGGGAAACATATGGTTACATACAAATATACCAAATATTATAGAAATAGAAACATCACCCTCCCTCGTCCCTTTGTCCATTCATATGTCTGTGTTCACGATAACTTTAGCAATGATTGAAATATTTTCAAGAAACTTGGCACCTATATTTCTCAGGTCATACGTACTGGACGTAATTACAAATGGATAAAATTGAACCAAGTTTACGTTTACAGCCCATATTATGGAAATTTTCAGAAGTACGAAAATTGCCATAATTCAGTAGCTAAATATGCCATTAGAGTCAAATTTGAGAGGTGGAAACAAATTTCGCATGAGCGTTGAACTACCGAGTTTTCGGTTAAAGGAATATATCATAAAAACTAATGGACCGAATTTAGTAGTGAATTTTGCTTTTAATAATTGCATACTTCCCATTTAGCTGTCCCTCTATTTTAGACAGATCGGTGGATCAGCTGAGTATTTAATGTATGGTTCCTTCCAAACTTAGTCTTCCTTATTTCTTTTTTATTCAATTTGGTTCTACAATCCAACTTTATTTTATATTTTTTTATCGTTTAGTATTCTTCTAATTTCGTTTTATAGTTTAATGTGCTTTGTGCATTATACTCAGTGTTTGTTGGTTCCACTCGCTCTTTCTTAACTGCTTTTTGCACCAAATTTAAGCCTATCTTTAATAACTACATTTTTTTTATTCTGTATAACCTAATATCTATGTATAAAGTGTTGTAATGCTTAAACGTTTTATATTTATTTAGTCACATATACGATTATAACGGATTTATCTTAGTTTATAAATTTATTTTAAGCAAACGTTGTAACAATTGAAAGTATAGTTAAGTGCTATAATGTAATGTTTAAATGGATTAATAAAATAAGATATTTTTCGTTTCAATTAGATTCTTTTGCTTAAAAACAGGTCGATTTTTCCTTTTGTGTGATGTTGATAGTTGGCATGGGGTATCATTTTCATACATTCAAAACCTTTTTGATCTGGTGCTTATGTTCTATTTATGACGAATCGGCTCGGATTTCTGACTTAGACTTCACAAAGGTGTTCTGTCCCTTATCAGAATTGGGAAATTAAAAAAAAAAATGCAAATCCGATTAGAAGCCGCAAACTTCAAATTTTTTTCTTGCAATAGTTCTGTTCGTCCAATCGCTGATAAGTTACAACTGGCAACAATTCTTACCAATTGTCTCTGAACCCAATATGTTGAGACATATAGTGTTGCAAAAATTTCAGCAAATAAGAAACAACAAATAAGAAAAACTACAAAAATTATTTCAAACATATATAATTGATATCGATATATATCGATACTATTATATAAAGTATTTACCAACAAAAGAAGTAAGCAATTTTCTTTATGTAACTGAATATTAGTCGCCTGAAACTAGTGATCTGAAGTTTTATTGCCCGACTATGAAGAAGTTCGAAAAGCAATCGGCCGCTTGAAGAACAACAAAAGTGAGGGGCCGATGGATTACCGCCCGAGCAATTCAAATACGCTGGTGAAGAACCGATAAGGCGATTCTAAGTCTGCATCAAGAAACTGATTGGACATCCACAATGTGGCTTTAGATCTAGTAAATCAATCATTGTCCAAATATCTACCATGTGGAAAATCTTTGAAAAGATTCATGAAAAGAGGATCGACACACACCATCTCCTCGTAGCAGCCTTCGACAGCACAAAAATAGTTACTTCTACGCCGTTATGTCTGAATTTCGTATCCCCGCTAAACGTATAGGGCTTTGTAAACTGACCTTATGCAACACCAAAAGCTCCATTAGGAAGGACCTATCCGAGCCGTTTGATACCAAACGAGGTTTCAGGTATGGTGACCCTTTATCGTGTGACTTTTTCTCCTTATTGAGCCAAATAGAGAAGGTACAATCTTCTTTAAGAGTGTACAATTGCTGGTGTACGCCGATGATATTGTCAATAGCCGTTCCTTGAGTTCTGCCTTCTCCAGACTGGATGAGGAAAAGTAGGGGTCTGGTAGTGAACGAGGGCAAGACGAAATATCTTCTATCACCACACAAACAGTCATCGATTTGCCGACTCGGCTTCCAAGGCACTGTTGACAGTAATAACTTTGATGTCATAGATAAATTCGTCTATTAAGGAACAAATATCACCACCACAAATAATGTCAGCTTTTAAATCCAGCGCAGAATCACTCTTGCCAACAGATGCTACTTTGGAGAGTGTAGAGCCGCACGTATTTCTTTTGATATACATAAACATATACCTTAAAAAGATACATTATACATTCTTTCAAACGCACCTAACAAGTAAGTCGGATGACAGATCTAAAAGTGACAGCCATGTCAATAAAACCAAAAGTGTGCTAATGGTTCAAAAATAAAATGGAACACAGAGCAAATATAAAATTTTGTGCTAAACTTGAAAAAAAATTAATGAAAAAAGTTTATCGTGATGATTGTATGAGTCGTACGTAAGTTTATACGTGGTTTACACGATTTAAAAATGGTCGTGAGGATTTAAATGACAACCCTAGAGCAGGACGTCCAGAAACTAATAATCGTCGTAAAAGTCCGTGAAATCATTGGTATCGATGCTAATTTTACTACGAGAATGTTGGATGAGGAATTGAATACCAGTAAAAACACTATTTGGAGAATTCCAACTGAATATTTGGGCAAAAGAAAGGTCTGTGGGCAATTTGTTCCACATAAATTAAATGACGACCAAAAAATCGCTCGAATTTTTAATGAAAAAAGGAATTTCTCTCATCGACCATCCTCCGTATTCGCCTGATATATCACCATGTGACTATTTTTTATTTTCAAAACTGAAAATCAAGATGAAGAGATCATTTTATGATGATATCCCAGCCATTCAAGCAGCCGTAACCGAGGTACTGAAGAACATTTCTATAAATGACATAAAAAAATATATGCATGCGCTGGTTGATTGTTCCAAACGTTGTGTTGAGTCAAATGAAACCTATTTTGAATAAATAATAACTTTCAAAGATAATATAATGTGCATTTTATTTTATATCCATAAAGTTCGGTTATTTTTGGGACACACCGTGTAAATATGCAGATTGCTCAATGTATCAAAAGAAATACGTGCGGCTCTAAACTTGAAGGCCAGAAAACACCATAGGAGTTGGCGTAAATTGTCTCCTCACGAAGGGATGAAAGTGTCGGTGGAATGGTTGCCGGTTGCAGGAGCAGGAGACCTTACTACCAAACGTCGTGAATATTTGCCCTGGCCTGAGTTTATTTACGTTGAAGAAGAATTCGCTGCCATTCTTCCTTGTATATATATATATATGTATAGTATGTGTGTGAAAAAAATTTCGATCGTTTTGTAAAGATCCCCATATTTCTAAATAACTGAAATTTTTACTGCCTAATATTCCTCGATCGGCACATAATGGAAGTAGAAATTCTGATCTGACATCTCAAAGGTGAAGACGTCTCATCTCCCGAACTTTTATCACTCCCTTCCAAATGAACTGACTACAATTTCCTTTTCGACTAGCGTTTGCCATCATTGTCAACAAGTGCCAAGGTCACTCGGTGGAATTAGTTTTGTGCATTACCTTTAGATACGAATCGCTTAGTACATGGACAAAATAACCTTTCTATTTGTGTGGCCTTTGGTATAATCAAAAATCTCGTTT